TTTATCATTTCATAATAAAAAAAATTAGAGAAAATATATTAATTCATGAAAACTTGGCTTATTAGGCAAATCGGGCCTTGCATAGTAGGCTGAAAAGTGCGTTCTGGCTACTAGGTACGACATATATATATATATAATATATAATATATAATATATATATATATATATATATATATATATATATATATATATATATATATATATATATATATATATATATACTATATGCAGTATATAAATAAATATATTTTATATATCTACATTACAAAATGAAACAAAAATTCCAAGTGCTTTTGTTTTTCAATTTGTTTCTACAAATGTATAAAGTATAAAAGTATAAACAGTAATGAATTAGGCAATATTAGTGTAAGACAAGGAGTATATAAATTAGATAGCTTTATGGTTAGTAAGATTTGTGATAGGTATAAAATGATGAAAAGAATATATATACACAGTATATGCAGTTGGCTTACTCCAAAAACTAGAGGATGGCCTGCTCCCAATTAAATAATGTCACTTCCATTATTTGATATCACATTTATGGTTTCTACTCAGGTGTAAGTGTTATAAAATCCCAAACCCTATGTCTTTTCCCTCTATATTCAATTAAAATATATTGAAACATGAAAGCACTCAGAATTTTCATTTAATTTTTCCTATGTGGATATTTAAGTATAACTGAATCACTTTTTTTATTATTCTTGTTATATCTGTATCTATAAACAGCTGTCATATAAACAAAATAATAATTTACAGAAAATTGTCTGTAGTTAATTAATACAGAAGTTTATATAAAGTTATTAAAATATTGATTTAAGTACAGAACATAAAATGCCATTACTAGTTTTGCTTGTAACACTTTAGAGCAACAAATCGAGGACTTTTAAGCTAATATAGCCAATGACACAATATGGAGAGAATAATGTCTAGTACTATCTTAATTTTACTTGTAATAATCTATTATCTTATTTTGAAATTATATGTATACAGTATATATATATATATATATATATATATATATATATATATATATATATATATATATATATATATATATATATATATATATATATATATATATATATATATATATATATATATATACATACATACATACATACATACATACATACATACATACATACATACATATAATACACACACACACACAGTGGTACCTTTGTTTTCAAATTTAATCTGTTCCCAGAGACGGGTTGTAAACCGAAAATTCACAGAGTGAACAAAATTTTCCCATGAGAAATAATGTAAACTGAATTAATCTGTTCTACATTCCCAAAAATGTTAACATCAAAATATATTTTCGTACATAATACTACAAATATTTTGTACTACAGTATGTACAAGTTATATCTTACCTTTACTGACGACTCTTGGTGGCATATGGAAGGTGGTGAGGAGGGGGAGAGGAAGAGATGTGTTAGTGTTTGGAAGGGATGTCCCAGTCCATTAAAACATCAGGCAGTGATGACTTTTCTGGGGTGCTCTCTCTCCTATGTTTTGCAGGCATACCACTAGGACCTGATGTAGCTCACTGCGTGCTTGTCTTACTAAGATTCTGTCTAAAGACACTTGTTATTCCCTACATTTTAATACTTGTCAGTAGTGAGATATCACAGTGTCATTAAAAAGGTCAATGCAACGACCTGCTACAGCTTTATCTGGGTGAGACTTTTCAGCACAACTATGCAGTTTTTCCCCATACTTCACACCTTTTCTTAATGTGGACGTGACATCGTCTACTCACAATTATTTTCTTAGGTTGAACCTTACCTCAGACTGTCTTGGGACCCATGGCATGATATATAATAATTACTTTTATGTTCAAAAACCTAAAAAACAGAAAAAACAATGAAATTCTTTACAAAGAATTCAAGTGCGATCGTCACTAAGCGGAAGGCATGGTAAACTGAAGCACACCTCGTCTGTGCCAGGAACCATGCGCTTGGTCAACCTATGCATGTATCAACAAACTCATCGCCAAGCGAGGTTGAGGTCGCCAACCGAATCAAATTTTACGAAAAAATTGAGATCGTAACCTGAAAAATTTGTAAAGAGGTACAGTTGTCAACCGAGGTTCCACTATATGTATGTATTTATGTATGTATGTATATTTGTGTGTGTGTGTGTGTGCATGTAAATCATGAAGTATATTTGTGTGTGTGTGTGCATATAAATCATAAAGAAGTTAACACATGATGAATAATTGATAATGTGAAAATATTTAGTCATGAAGGAAAAATGAAACCAGAGTGGACATCAGTAATTTCATGTTTAATCAACACATTTAATCAAAACATTATCATGATAATGTGTCAGTTAAACCCAAAAGCACTCAAGTCCACTCTGATTTTATTTTTCTTTGTGGACAAATATTTTCATACATATATGTATACATACATACATATACTGTGTGTGTGTGTGTGTGTGTGTGTGTGTGTGTGTGTATGTGTGTATTTTTTATATATATATATATATATATATATATATATATATATATATATATATATATATATATATATATATACATATATATATACATATATATATACATATATATATACATATATATATACATATATATATACATATATATATATACATATATATATACATATATATATACATATATATATACATATATATATACATATATATATACATATATATATACATATATATATACATATATATATACATATATATATACATATATATATACATATATATATACATATATATATATATACATATATATATATATATATATATATATATATATATATATATATATATACATATATATATACATATATATATACATATATATATACATATATATATACATATATATATATACATATATATATATATACATACATATATATATATATATATATATATATATATATATATATATATATATATATATATATATATATATATATATATATATATATATATATATATATATATACACACACACACAGTGGAATCTTGGATTACAAGCGTCCCTGGTTATGAGTTTTTCGGGTTACGAACAGGACTTGGATGGAAAATTTGCATCGGGTAACGTGTGTGTTGATATGCATACGGGCTGAACTAGTGCGTGGTGGTACGGCGATAGCCGCTCAGTTTACTAGTGCCTCGCGCCTAGTGATTATCCTGCCTGAATTCTTCCCAAGGATTTACAGTGTTTTGTCGGATATTTGGCTATTTGAGCATAAAAGTTGTTATTATATATCTTGCCATGGGTCCCAAGAAAGCCAGTGGTAAGGTTCAAGCTAAGAAAATAGTTGTGAGTAGAGGCAGTAGAGGATGTCCTTTCCTCATTAAGAAAATGTGTGTAGTATGGGAAGAACTGCAAAGTTCTGCTGAAAAAACTCACCCAGATAAAGCTGTAGGAGGCTGTTGCATTGACCTTTTAAATGACAATGTGATATCTTACTACAGACAAGTGTTGCAAAGAAGGGAAAAACAATCTTCAATGGATCGTTTCGTTGTGAGAAAATCAAGCAGTTTGCCACAACCAGGACCTAGTGGTATGCAGGCAACACGTGCCAGAGTGCACTCCAGAGAGGTCCTCACTGCCTGATGTTATAATGGAAGGGGACTCCCCCTTCCAAACAGTAACACCACCACTCCTCCCCCCTCCTCACCATCTTCCATATGCCAACAGCAGTCATCAGCAAGGGTAAGTAATAACTTGAACATAGTTTTGTAGTGTAGATTTAGATGAATTAGGTATAAAATGTAGTTTGAAGTGAGGTTTTTGGGTAGTCAGGAAAAGATTAATTCATTTCCCATTATTTCTTATGGGGAAATTAGCTTCGGTTTACGAGTTTTCGGATTACGAGCCGTCTCCAGGAAAGGATTAAACTCTTAAACTGAGGTACCCCTGTATATACAAGAGAGCTTAAATGGTCCCCAAGCCATAAACCACTGAGAACTCCATGACCCGACAAGGTTTTGAACCTGCATAGCCAGGGCTTATCCCCAACATACATACTACTGAAACCACATCACCAGCAATTGCTTGGGAAGTGGTTTCAGTCGTGCTCATTCCCAACTCACAAAGGTCAATTCCAGGTTCAACTCCCAGGTGGGACAGAAATAGTTGGGAGCATTTCCTGTCACCTAATATCTCTGTTCATCTAGCAGTAAATAGGTACCCCAGGAGTTAATCAGCTTGTTGTGGGGTTGCAACTTGTTGATGTGGATTGCAATGTGCAATCAACTTACACATGGGGAGAGTCAGTAATTCAACCTTGGGGCGGTGGAGGACATCGATATAAGCCTAACACGTATATATACACTGGTTCCATGTCCCCAACACAATGAATTATAACAGCTGTCAACACAATAAAAAAAACAGCTATCACTGGAAACAACTGTTACTGGAAATAACAGCCATCACAGGAAATGACAAAAGCTATCACACTGGAAACACAATAACATCACTTACTGGAAAGACAAAAACAGCTGTCAATGGAAAGAAAACAACAGCTGCCACTGGAATGACAACAGCCGGCACAGGTGCGTCTAATTACCCAGTGCTATCCAAAGCTACTCAAAGCTACCCAAAGCTTCCTAGCATTACATAAGTAATGAAGAACTATGATACATTTACATACTATAATGTTGGTGCTGAATGTAGGACATGAAAAAAACCAGCGTTGAATGTAATGAAACGCCATTTTCTGGGTGAGCCCCGGAGGCTCCCTGGAGCTTGTTGGGCTAATGTACTTTATATTAGACCAGGACATTAGCTATGGAGTTCAGACTCCATGGAGTTCAGACCTACCAGGCACCAGAGCTGGAACCTGGCCCCTTCAGAGAGGTTTCAGGGAGCAATGGCCCTGGGAAAACCCCCTTGTAGTTAGGGTTTTTCCTTATCTGTCATCGACCGGGGTTAGGCACCCAGAAAGGTAGGCATAACAAAACAAACCCCACATGGTAAGAAACTAAAACAAAAAACCCAGCAGAAAGGTAGAAAATCCCTACAATCCCAAGGAAACAAGCAAACAAGCACACATCACACTTTACTGCCATGCCGCTCGTCCGTGCAGCCCTCCCCTCCTCAAGAGGAGGAGGGGGGGGGGGCCCCAGACCTCAACATGCCGGCTGCCTAGCCCTCCAGTTCGGAAGCTAAACTTCAACCAACGCGAAAAAACGCCGACCGGTTGGAGGGAGGGTTGCCAGGGAGCCTCCAGGGCTCACCCAGAAAATGGCGTTTCATTACATTCTGATGTAATGAAACATCATTACATCAGAATGATTTCTGACGTAATGAATTTTTATTACATCTGGAAAGGTTTTCAAGATGTATTTTTTTTTCTCTGGAGAGCCCCTACAGCTCCCTGGAGCTACATACCCAAAGAGATGGAAGAAAAAGGGCCGACCTGGCAGGCGACCGCCACAAACTCTGCAATGCGAAGTTGAGACAAGAGGCAGCAACCTGCGACCCAAAGCAACACAAGAACACCCAGGAGCAGACACGCTCACGAAAGAACAGGCGGCCAGGAACCTGTGCAACCTCCAAATCCCCTCACTCGAAATGAGCCCAAGACATGTTACCATATACGGCAGTGAAAGCTGCAAACGTCCGAACAGCACGGGCGCAAGGATAGACCGCAAGTCGGTAGACTTAAGAACCCTGCGGATGACCTGGGAGACCCGAGCCCTGGAAGAGGGAACGAGGGAAACAGGATCAACCTAAAATGCATTCCCAGCCACGGCATGCAGGTAATGGGGAAGAGCTGCAACCAGTCACAACACATGATGCACCCCCAGCTGAACCAGCCAAGCATCAATAACCCAAGGACCCCTCCAGAAAGCAGCCATCTCGGCCTTTGCCAGAAAGACGAAGAAGGCTGCAAACACACAAACCTACCACCAGTACCAAAAGAGCAGAAACCCCTGTGCCGGAGGAGAGCCGGAAGCTCCCCAACCCGACCCGCAGAGGCCAATGACAACTAAAAAAAAGAAGGCCTTTGAAAAACAATCTTGAACCGATGGGGCTACCGCAAACTGAGGAGAGGAAAGATAAGAGAGCACCCTGACCAAGGACCAGGACGGCTCAAGTGGCACATGAGCAGGTCGGAGGTGAAACAAAGCACAAGAAAACGTACGGAACGGGGTGGATGTGACGTCCACCTCGAACACAAGCTGGAGCGGCTCCACCAGCACCGCACGATATGAGGCGACAGTAAGAAGCATCAATTAACGGTCCTGAAAAACCAAGAAAGGACAAGACAACCCGATGTGAAAGAGAAGACAACCTACGAAGAGCATGAAAAAGGTGAAAAGAAAAGCCAGGAAATTACATACTGTCGCCGAGACGAAACATGCAGGTGGGACACCCTCAACGAAGCCATCTGATCACCATAAGAGATGGTGATACGCCCGCGTCAAAAGACCAGACGTGACGAGCCGAGGAGAAGGGGGGTTTTAACCCCCCTTAACCACAAGGGGGTTTTCCAGGGCCATTGCTCCCTGAAACCTCAGTGAAGGGGCTAGATTCTGGCTCTGGTCCCTGATAGGTCTGAACTCCATAGCTAATGGCCCAGTCTAATATAAAGTACATTACCCTGATAAGCTCCAGGGAGCTATAGAGGTTTCTCACAGAAAAACATATTTTTACTCTGAAATTATATAATTTTATAACGAAATTGGGTCCATCTAATTACCCAAAGTCACAACATTATCGCTTGGAGCGTTGACTTCCTGTGGCATCATCTGCTGCTTAATTTCATCTAATTTCATTATAAAATTATATAATTTAAAATGGAAATATATTTTTCCAAGTTCTACATTCAGCACCAACATTATAATGAGTAAATATTAAATATATCATAGTTCTTCATTACTTATGTAATGCTAAGAAGCTTTTGGCAGCTTTAAGATAATTTGGGTAGCTCTGTGTAATTAGACGGCACAACTGGCACTGGAAGATAACAGCTATAACTTGAGAGAACATTAGCCATCACTGGAAAGAACAACAGCTGTTACTAGAAACATAACAGCTGTCATTGGAAGCAATTACAGTTTTCACTGGAAGTAACAACAGCTGTCACTTGGAACAACAACAGTTGTCTCTGGAAAGAACACTACACTGTAGCTGGCACTGGAAAGACAACAGCTGGCACTGGAAAGACAACAGCTGGCACTGGAAAGACAACAGCTGGCACTGGAAAGACAACAGATGTCACTGGAAAGACAACAGCTGTCACTTGGAACAACAACAGTTGTCTCTGGAAAGAACAATAGCTGTCACTAGAAAGACAACAGCTGCCACTAGAAACATCAGTTGTCACTGGAAACACATCAACTTCAGCCATTGGAAAATATAAGAACTACTGTCATTGGAAGTACAACAACAGCTGTTACTGAGAGCACAACAATTGTTACTGGAAAGCCAACAACAGCTGTAAGTAGAAACAAAACAGTTGTCACTGGAAACAATAACAGCTGTTACTGGAGAACCAACATCAACTGAAAATGGATAACCAACATCAGCTGAAAATGGATAACCAACATCAGCTGTTATTGGAGAACCAACATCAACTGAAAATGGATAACCAACATCAACTGAAAATGGAGAACCAACATCAACTGTTACTGGAGAACCAACATTAGCTGAAAATGGAGAACCAACATCAACTGAAAATGGATAACCAACATCAGCTGAAAAGAGATAACCAACATCAACTGAAAATGGATAACCAACATCAGCTGAAATTGGAGAACCAACATCAACTGTTATTGGAGAACCAACATCAGCCAAAATTGGAGAACCAACATCAGCCAAAATTGGAGAACCATCATCAGCCAAAATTGGAGAACCAACATCAGCTGTTACTGGAGAACCAACATCAGCTGAAAATGGAAATATCAGCTATCCCTGGAAACACAACTACTGTCACCAGGGTAAACAGAAGCTATCAATGGGAGCAATAGCAGGTGTCTTTAGGAATATAATGGTTTTATGTTGTTATAAATATAATGGCTGTTACTGTAAATACAGCAGCAGCTATCACTGAAAGTATGAGAGGTCACTGGACATACAACAGCAGCTATCTTATGAAATGTAAGAGTTATCACTGGAAATACAGCAGCACTGCCACAGAAAATGTGACAGCTGCAACACTTAGAAAATAGCAACTGTCATTGCATGAAATACAGTATCAAATGTCAATGAAAATACAAGCTATCATCAAAAAAATACAACAGAAACTGTCATTGTATATACAATATCAAATGTTACTGGAAATACACCAACCTGTTGGTAAAAATACAACAGTAGCTGGTAATGGAAATACAATAGCAGCCATAATTGGAGATACAATATCAGGTGTTACTGGAAATGCAATGGCAGATGCACCTGTAAATGCAGTGATATGTCTTGGCAATAGAACACCTATTGCTGTTGGACATACAATACTTGTTCTTTGGGATTACAACAATTGTTAGTTGAAATACAGCTGCAACTATCAATGGTAATACAATAACATCTGTCATTGAAAATACAGTATATAATAGTCACTATCAGTGAAATGCATTAGCTATCATTGTAAACATAATGGCAGCAGAAATTGTAAAACCAAACAATGTCAATAAAAATAAAACAGTTGATAGTGAAAATACAATTACTGTCATGAAATGTACCAGGTTTCATTGGAAATATGACAAATGACATTGTAAATACAACAACTGTCATTCATAAAGCTGTTATTGGAAATACAATAGAAATCTTTGGAATTACAACAGCTGACATCAGAATAACTGTCAACATAAACAACTGCAACTGGAAGCACCCAAACAAGTATAAAACATTGCCATCCCAGCTGCAATTAGAGGTACAAGAGCAGGCACAGCTGCTGACACAATCGCATCTGTGATTGGAAATACTGAACAATTATAGATTTATAAAACATCTTTCTTTAAAGTGTGGTTTGGGTATCAGCTCATCTAAAGATCTCTCAATGATGTCCACATGTGTATGTCCTCAAGAATAAAATAGGGGAATCTTTGACAAGCTTCCAGCTTCCTGTGTTTGTTGAGGCCACTAGAGCTGGCTGTCTTCAGGTAAATTCAAGTAAACTTGATACACAATCTATTCACACCTGTCTATGTTTGTATGGTCAAACTCCTACATTTTACACTTTAAGAAATTAGAGAAGTGCTGTGTTCAATGGTAGCATCTTGAAGGCCAAATTTTAAGGCAAGAGATTTTTCTGATTAACGTAAGTGTTTATCACAGTTGATGGCTTCTGCCCACCTTCACACGAACTCCAAGTTTAAAGCTTCTGCTGCCCATGGGTTCTCTGTAAATATATTGATAACTGATCAGACTGATGATACAATTTGAAAGTAAGTCTTGTATTTAGAGAATAAGTCTCAATAATGTTGCTGAAAACAAATGACCTAACTCACACAAATGCAGTACAGTGAAATGAGAGTAACAACATTCTGCCCTGTCTTGGACCCTTATCCAGGGTGGACCAAAATGTCATCACTTTCATTTCATGTGTGTTATTTGGGTAACTTATTTAAAATTTTGTATTTAGAAGTAGATAGTGCACTGTATTCTTTATTGCTTTATAACAAAATCTTCCCTCAGTTAAGGCAAGAGTGAGCAAGTACGTGACCTAAATTTATAGCTACACAGTACTGTCTAAACTGGTAATCCCAATCACATGGAGCCCATTCCCATTTGACTTAGCCAAATTTCTTACAAGGATTTTCCAAAATTGAACAAATGTGCAATTTTTTTTTATACCACAATTTAACTGGTTATACCCACTGTTTACTTGAAAATGATAAACAAGACTTCATTGGGGTTATCTAGAATAAGGATTACCAAGTTATTACAGTACAGTCATACTAATTTAGCATGTTCTCTCCATAATTACATTACATGATCTAAATTTGTAATGAGGCATAAAGCTGAACTTGCACACTATACTGTATAAACAACAAACCTGCTACATAGAGAGAAGAACTATGAAAGGCTTATAGTACTTGAAATAATGAGACTATTTTATAAACAAATAAAGTTATAATGTTATCCTTAATAATAACAGACAAATATATTTGTAGCTTTTCCTAGATATCAACAAATGGTGTCTAACCTCAAATATGCTGAGACTAGAATGAAGTTAGGTAGGCTATAATCACTAACATAACCAGATAGATGGGGAGACACACAAAGTAACACTCAACATGTCTGAAACACACTGTGTATTAGTGGCTTTATGTACTGAACATGTCTTACCTATTAATTCTCCACACTCTTCATCTATCATATATACTCATACATAAATATTATTATTATTATTATTATTATTATTATTATTATTATTATTTTATTATAATTATTATTATTATTATTATTATTATTATTATTATTATTATTAATATTATTATTATTATGTACAATGAAATTACAAGTATGTGATATGTCAATGAGAAAATATTGAAGCCATATTTTGGGATCGAACCTGCATGTGTAGTCCAGTTGGTAGTGCCTGAGCCTGAGGAGTTCAGGTATGTGGGTTCAATCCCATCAACGGCTTCAATATTTACTCACTCAGTAATATATATACTCAAAATCTGTTGACTGCTGTAGCCAGGAGAGAAGTGTTATTTCTAGAGATGATGCAGATCCAATCATTCTAGCTAGCTGGTGCCCGCCTTATATTGCTGAGGCCAGGCTCAGCCCAGAGTAGTAGACGGAGTGCTGGGTCATGACTGGCCGCCTGCAGGCCAATACTGTTTGTGCGCTGGTTAATCACCGGACTCACATTTCCAGTTACATTCAGGCATGACTGAGTGTGGCCACAGACGTTCTGCCATTCCCAGGAGACTTGTACTGTCTGGTGGGACACTACATATTCAGCAAATTAAGTTTTTTAGTCCCAACTGATGAATTAAAATACAAAAGTTTGTAAATGCTTTAATAAAGTTAACTCCCAGTTTGGACTGACATGAATTTGTGTAATGATATGAATCATCAATAAAAAAATCTCTGTTATTCTCTGAATTATATCATTCAATATTTATTTGTATTGCATTGATATTTAATTTCACAGCAGTCTTAAATACAAAAATCAAGCAATGTAGTGGGAAGACCTTTTCTTTTGAGCATCTATGTAGCTTCTTGAGCTTTAGAATGAAACCGGTAAAGCCAGAGATAAATAAGGCAAATGATCATTGCTACAAGGATACTACCATACTTTAATGTGCTTGACTGTCATAAGATAGTAGCCCAGGGCAACTGAACAGGGCAGGATTTAAGGTAGGGCTCACACTGCTGCAGACTGGCCATGGCCCAATGCTTTCCGAGAGCCCTGTGTAGCTTTGATTATTGCAAGAAATTCTGCTATTTGCCCTTTTTCATCCTTGGCCCTATAGTAAAGGTTAATCTATGCTATAGTAAAAACATGTATTCCACAGTCAGGGTTTGTTGTAACTATGGAAGAAGTGAGCAATCATCGAAGTTAAATGTATTTTGAAAGTAGTGCCAAGTAACAGTTCATCTGCACATGAGCAGGTTTGAATTTCACTATGTGAGGGGTGCCCTGAGGTGGGGGTTTACCTTATTTGCCATTGACTGGGATTAGGCACCCAGGAAGGTAGGCGTAACAAAACAGACCCCACAAGGTAAGAAAAATGCAAACGGAAGCCGAACAAAGAGGTAGAACACCCTCACTTCCCAGGAAAGAAGCAAACAAACAAACATCACATCAAGCCTGGTTGATTACCTGGTTGATGGGGTTCTGGGAGTTCTTCTACTCCCCAAGCCCGGCCCGAGGCCAGGCTTGACTTGTGAGAGTTTGGTCCACCAGGCTGTTGCTTGGAGCGGCCCGCAGGCCCACATACCCACCACAGCTGATCAGGAACTTCTCTTAGAAAACAGTCCAGTTTTCTCTTAAAGATGTCCACGGTTGTTCCGGCAATATTTCTTATAGTCGCTGGGAGGACGTTGAACAGCCGCGGACCTCTGATGTTTATACAGTGTTCTCTGATTGTGCCTATGGCACCTCTGCTCTTCACTGGTTCTATTCTGCATTTTCTTCCATATCGTTCACTCCAGTATGTTATTATTTTACTGTATAGATTTGGGACCTGGCCCTCCAGTATTTTCCATGTGTACAGTATATTATTTGGTATCTCTCTCGTCTCCTTTCTAGAGAGTACATTTGGAGAGCTTTGAGACGATCCCAATAATTTAGGCGTTTTATCTCGTCTATGCGTGCCGTATATGTTCTCTATAATTCCCTCTAATTCAGCAATCTCTCCTGCTCTGAAGGGGAAAGTGAGTACTGAGCAGTACTCAAGACGGGACAGCACAAGTGACTTGAAGAGTATAACCATTGTGATGGGATCCCTGGATTTGAAAGTTCTCATAATCCATCCTATCATTTTCCTGGCTGACACAATATTTGCTTGGTTATGCTCCCTAAACGTTAGATCGTCGGACATCATTATTCCCAAATCCTTTACATGCTGTTTTCCTACTATGGGCAGATTCGTTTGCATTTTGTACCCTGTATTATGTTTCAGATCCTCATTTTCCCGTACCTGAGTAGCTGAAATTTATCACTGTTAAACATCATGTTATTTTCTGCTGCCCAATCGAAAACTTTGTTGATATCTGCTTGTAATTTTTCAATGTCTTCAGCAGAGGTAATTTTCATGCTGATTTTTGTGTCATCTGCAAAGGATGACGCGAAGCTGTGACGTGTATTTTTGTCTATATCTGATATGAGAATAAGGAACAGTAGCAGTGCAAGGACTGTACCTTGAGGTTCGGAGCTTTTAACTGCGCTTGGATTTGATTTGATTTGATTGACTGTTACTCTTTGTGTTCTGTTCGACAGGAAATTGAGTATCCAGCATCCTACTTTACCAGTTATTCCCATTGATCTCATTTTGTGTGCTATCACCCCATGGTCACATTTGTCGAACGCCTTTGCATAGTCTGTGTATACAACATCTGCATTTTGCTTTTCTTCTAGAGCTTCTGTGATTTTGTGATAGTGGTTGAGTAACTGTGACAGACAGGATCTTCCTGCTCTAAATCCATGTTGTCCTGAGTTGTGTAACTCATTATTTTCCATAAAACTAGAAATTTGATTCCTAATCACTCTTTCAAACACTTTTATTATGTGTGATGTTAGTGCAACTGGTCTATAATTTTTTTGCCAAGGCTTTACTACCTCCATTGTGCAGAGGAGCTATATCTGCAGATTTAAGTGCAGCTGGTATCGCCCCTGTATCCAGGCTCTTTCTCCATATTACGCTGAGTGCTCGCGCTATTGGTACTTTACATTTCTTTATGAATACTGAATTCCATGAGTCAGGCCCAGGAGCTGAGTGCATGGGCATATTGTCAATTTCTCTTTCAAAGTTTTCCGAGTTCGTGTTAATATCCGTTATATTGTCTGCAGCTTGAATGTCATTCATAACGAAGCTGTCTGGGTCATCAACTTTCATGTTGTTTATTGGTGTGCTAAACATAGCCTCATACTGGCTTCTTAGAATTTTACTAATCTCTTTGTTGTCCTCTGTGTACGAACCTTCATTTGTAATTAATGGTCCAATACTGGTCAAGGTTTTTAATTTTGATTTTGCGTATGTGAAAAAATATTTTGAATTTTTCTTTATCTCTTGTATAGCTTTCTGTTCCAATTCCATTTCCTCAGACTCATATGATCGCTTCAACGTTTGTTCTATTTCTTTGATCTTCCTGCTTAGGTTTATTTTTCTTTCTTCTGATAGTCGTATCTGCCGAAGCATTTCTGTTATTTTTTTCCTTCTCCTGTACAGTCGTCTGCGTTCTCTTTCTAGAGTGGTCCTCTTTCTGCCCCTCCTCACAGGCACGTGCTTCAAGCAGACCTTGTAAGCTTCAGCCGTCAGTTGATCTATTCCCTGTAATTTATAATTTTTTAATTACCTAAGTGTAGTTACAGGATGAGAGCTACGCTCGTGGTGTCCCGTCTTCCCAGCACTCTCACTCTCTCACAGCACTGTGTGGGAGTTTTGTCGCTTAAGACCGTCTCCCATTGAATGGTTGCAAGGTCTACATTTATTTTTTCCCAGTCGATCCTCTTCTTGTTGAAATTGAATTGATTAAATACTCCTTCTCACCTGTTGGGTTTCTTAGACCTACTACTGTTATTTATGCTAGTTTACACTTCAATGAGCTTATGGTCTGAGTATGAAGTATCTGAGATTGTAATGTCTCTGATTAGTTCATCATTGTTTGTGAATAACAAGTCTAGTGTGTTTTCGTTCCTAGATGGTTCTGTAATCTGTTGATTGAGCGAGAATTTGTCACAAAATCTCAAAAGTTCTCTGACCTGGGGTTGGTTATTTCCCGGGTCATTCCCTGCTATGATATTTGTGTTTACCATTCTCCATCTTAGACTTGGTAAATTGAAATCTCCAAGGAAGATAATATCTGGAGCTGGGTTTGCTAGATTATCAAGGATGTTTTCTATTTTGTGCATCTGCTCTGTGAATTCCTCAACCGTCGTCGCATTGCTCATCCGCGCAGCTCCCCCCCCTCTTGGGAGGGGGGGGGGGGTAGGGAGCCTCGGACCCCACCATGCTGGCTACCTCGTTCGGAGACTAAGCATTGAAAGCAAAACAAAACCGCCGACTGGAAGGAGAGAGGGTGCCCAGGGAGCCTCTGGGGCTCACCCAGAAAAAGGCGGTTCATTACATTCAACTCTGGTTTTCTGGGGGGAGCCCTTATGGTTCCCTGGAGCTACATAACCAAGGATAAGTAAAAGAGGGACACACCCGGGAGGCGGTCACCAAACGCTTCTCAACTCGAAAGCAAAACAACTGGCTACAACCTGCGACCCAAAGCAACACACGAACACCCAGGACTAGGAATGTAAACCAAATATCCTGCGGCCAGGACTCTGTATGACGTCCAAAATCCCTGCACTTGAATAACAGCCCAAGACATGTTGTTGAAGATGGCAGCCAAAGCAGCAAACATCCAAACGTCATGGGCATGAGGAAAGACTGCAGGCTGGCTAGACTTAATAACCCTGTGGGCAACCTAGGAGACACAAGCCCTGAGGAGGCCAGAGGTGAAACAAAGCACAAGAAAGCTTATGGAACAGGGCAGAAGTGATAACGACCCCCGGATGCAAGCTTCGGCGGCTCTCCAGCACTACATAATACGAGGCGATATTAGTAGGCATTAGGCAGGCCAAAGGTGAAACAACGCATGACAACCTTCAAAATGTCACCGCAGAAGTATTGACACTTAACCCTTAAACTGCGCATGGCGTATATATATACACCATGAGTAACATGTCCCACGGTGCGCATGGTGTACAGTATATATACGCCATAGGGTGCCTGGCACGATTCAAATGGCCCGCGGCTACACGGGGTTCACATCAGCTTCCTCAGGGCTCTTGTAAACAGACACCATGTTTAAAAAAAATCAAAATCATGGGCAATATTCTCCGGTGTGAGAGCCACAGTACTGTGGGAGCAACCAAGGCTGGTGCACGCAGCATGAGCTAACAGCATTGCTGTTCAGCTTGTGACCAAAGCATCGCCTAAAAATGTCAAAATAAATATGTAACTGCTATTATTTAGCGATGACAGTATTACAGATGACCCCTGTGATAAAAATGACCAGGATTGTGATAATAGCAGGAGTGTTGTGATAATTACCGCTGTGTGGGAGGAGCAATGCTGAGGGAGGGAGGGAGGGAGATTGCTGACTGTGCGTCCATCTGTTATTATCTGCATTCACCATACCAGCTCGGTGGTTCTCTATGGTGAACACAAATGTAGATACTTATATATAATGTGTGTATTAGTGTAATAACAGCAAAAGGAT